CTACTACTACTACTACTACCACTACAGCTGCTCCTGCTGCTGCTGCTGCTACGCCTACTAAAACTGTTGCTATTACCACTACTACTACTACTACTACTACTACTACTATTACTACTATTACTACTACTACTACTGCTGCTACTACTACTACTTGTACCACTACTTGTACTACTACTACTACTACTACTACTACTACTTCTACTACTACTACTACTACTACTTTACTACTCCTCCTCCTCCTCCTACTACTACTACTACTACTACTAGGCGTCTACGCCTACGACTGCGACTACGATAACGACTGCTACTACTACTACTGCTACTACTGCTACTACGGCTGCTACTGCTGCTGCTACTCTGCTACTGCTACTGCTACTGCTACTGCTACTACTACTACTACTTCTACTACTACTACTACTCCCACTCCCACTACTACTACTACTACTACCACTACCACTACTACTACTACTGCTACTACTACTACTTCTTCCACGACTACTACTACCACGACTACTACGACTACTACTACAACACGACGAAAACAATCCAAAGGCTGCAGCTTTTGTTTCAAGGAGAAGGTAGAGACAAATAAAGAAAATGTGTATTATTGTGTATTGACTGGGCTGCAGTTTTGTTTGCGACGACGACGACGGCGGCGACGGCGACGGCGACCGCGACGGCGACGACGACGACGACGCCGACGCCGACGCCGACGCCGACGCCGACGCCGACGCCCACGCCGACGCCGACGCCGACGCCGACGCCGACGAGGACGACGACGACGACGGCGGCGACGACGACGACTTCTTCTGCAGTCATGTGTTTCTTTCTTTTTTCCACTCTACCTCTCCTTACTAAACTCCTTACTGCAAACACCCGGACCCAGAAGATACAATCTCTATTCCCTGGAACCTTCGCCCCTCATCCATTTGCTCCCCTCCCCCGTCGTCCTCTCCAGCGCGTGAGGCCACGGCCACAGCGGCCCTTTGGGCTCCGAACAGCGTACCATTCGAACAGCTGGTTTTTGCTCATTTGACATCGCTTGCTAGGGGTCAGAATTCGAAGGTACCGGAGCTACTATTCTGGAGATTGGAGACTTCAGTGTTGGAGTCGAAGGGGAAACCCAAACTCAGAAAGCCCTTGAAACTATTTGGAGTTCTTTTGTTTTTTACAAATGTAGAACCCGATGTCCTTGCTCGAAGTTAGGACGACACTACACGGTACTCTGTATCTACTTCTGTCGTGAATTCAACTTTGAACGCCTGTATCAGCGTCGTGAATGACACGCGATTTGTCAAATTATTCCATTCCATGCTTTTCTACTCCTTCAACTGGGCCCCCAACGGCTCGTAATTGGTTCCCAAGGAGAGTCGGAGAAGGGCATCCTGCCAAAAAGTGGTACAGTATATAGATGATGTCGGCCACAGCATGTTTCTGAAGAACTCTGGCACCAGCAGACAATACGACAATCTACTTTACTTCACTAATTCCTTCCCTCTCAAAACAATGAATGGTGTCTGGTATGCTTTCTGATGCTGTCAGTGGAGCATGCTAGCAGCTAGCATGACACAGCAGTGTTGAACCGTGCGTGTGGCTCCTTCTATTCTCGCTGCATTCCAGTTTCCCAACCTGTTCCCAACCCTTCATCACTAGACATGCATTGGCTGCTCCAGACACACACTCTTTGACCCAGTCCTCCTGATTGGGTGACAAGGGTGTCTTCGGTGGGTCTCTCAGCAATCTGGCTACCTTGACAGAGGGATGCGGACTGGAATGATGCAATGAGCTCTCAGCAAATCTCAATCAAAAGTTTGGAGTAAAGCTTCCCAACGATACTAAGATATTTGTGACACCTCGACAGCACAAGTTTCATTCAAAGGACTGGGATGATGACCAGAAGTACAGTAGTCGTTGTACAAGCTCATGTTTGATTGAGCATTCCGAATGTCCAAAACACCTCGCGATACTTCTGCGCGCGATTCTCGTACTCCTGCACGGGCAACTTAAAATACAACGTGCTCAAAAAAACAGAACTTCTCTACACCGAGATGGCTTCCGCGCGATGCAAACCAAAATGTTTCATGGATTGATGAGAATCTGTACCTGTCTACCCTCGAAGGTGTGCACGGATCAAGAAAATATTTTCTTTTGGTCCCCTCACCTCGGCCAGGCTCGGAAACTCGTGGTATCCAGTGATGCCATCCACCTGAGGACTTCTGTGCCCAAGGGGCGGCAGCCAGAATCAGTCTCAACAAGAGCGCGAGGAAAGCCCTGTTGACTTGTGTGTGTGTGTGTCAACCCCTGTCCCAAAGGGAACTAACCTATCTAGCTTTCTATTTTCTTCCATCAATTCATGCCTGTACAGCAGCAGGGGGTGGTAGCAAGGCAGAGAGTCTACCACCAATGAAGACGCTCTCTAAGCCTTGGTGATACTGGGATTGATCATCCCAGCGTACCTGCACAATTTTAGCTGATTCTCCATGTTTCACCTATGTTCAAACATTCTGTTGATCTGACCCAGCATTTCTTTTCAGTCAAGGTCTAAATTGCAGTAACGCTAAAGGGCTAATGCTCGCTACGAATTTCTGAAACTCCGCTCTACGGAGCACTCTTCTCAAGTGTGTGTCTGTTTGCTTTGCTTTTCTCTGGAACAAAACCCAACGACTTTAGGGTTCATCTTTCCAGTCTAGCAAACTGCTCCAGAGTTGAAGGCTCCTATGCTTGATAAGAATTCCCTTGACAAAACAAAGTGCTCTGGAAGCCAAAAGTCCCCAATCCCCAGCGCGGTACAGCCAAGGGAGCACTGTCCCCCCTCCGCTGACGGACAGGACGGTGACCACAACATCAAACAAGAAACATCCAGACATGCAGGCGGCCCCAGGAGAAGCGAACTCATGTTGCTGACCGGCATGAAAGTCTTTCCACGTTGCTGGCACCCACTTCACGGAGCTGGATGAGAAAAGAATGCTTGAGAGCTAAAATGGAGACTGACAAGTCAAGGCTACAGGGGTGTACACTAAACTAAAGCATTCTAATGCCCAACAATCGATCTGAAGCCCACATGTCTGCCTGCGGTTTCCGGCTCAACTCTCTCAGCTGTCTTGCTGCAGCCTGCACATGACGCGTTTTGACAGTCATACATACATGTCCGAGTTGTCACTCAGGAGGTATGGAGAGTTCATCTGTCAGCCATGTTCTACAGTGGTGAAATCAGTGAAAGAGAACACATCACACAAAAGGCCCCCCAATACAAATGAAGGGGGGTAGTGGGCAGACGCTGGCGCAGGGCTAGGCAAAGGGTGAAGGATATCAAAGTTCAACTCGTCTCACTTGGCCAGCTGCAAGGGGGTGGGACGAACCAGCTGCGCAGCCACCTCATATTGCTCTATGATGTCATTCACCTGCAGCAAATCAAAAAGGTGCGCAAGCAACAAGCGGGGTCAAGTCCTGACTGCCAAGTCTTAAAAAAACTGCACGGTCTTCCCGGGGGTGAGAGGATCCTATGGGATCCTTGACCCATGATAGCCAGCTAGCTGATTGGCTTCATTCAAAGAAGTGTGACATTGAAGAAAGCTGCATTGCTTGTTCAGTGCAGACAGGATCAAGTAAAGCTTGATGCTGAATCATCTTGATCCCTGGCTATATGCAATGTCCTCTTGATGGAACTCAGATCAAGAAACCAGTCTATTCTCATGAGCTTCGCATGTCCCTCTTCCTGCGATCCGGTTTGCCCACTCGAGCCCCTGACTTTCCTCACAATTTCCAAATCTGCTCCTTCTGCTGTAATCGGCATTTGGACAGCTTAATTACAGACCGAGCAACTTTGCGAAGATATGACTGGGAAAGAATCTACGCAGTTGAGGGGTGCTATGCAGGTATCAACAAATGCATGTATAGAGTGTGTCCTGCTCAATCATCCAAAGCTTGTTGTGTCACATACTTTCTATGGAAATCAAATCGTGTCCTGTTAAATGGCATGAGCTTTGCCATGTAGTCAAAGCAGCTATGGTTTTGAGGCAATTCTATGGCTGTGGTGACTAACCTGCAAGGCACATTCAGACTACGCGATAGTGAGATCACGCAAAAGGATGCAATCAATCACATTCTGTCTGTATCCAACACTAGTACACCAGTCGCCTTGAACCCCTGATCTCCCAAACTGATTCCAACAGCTGAGAGTCTTTTCTGACGATGCCACACGCTCAACGATCTCATACTAGGGCATCGAATGCTCACATTACATCTGCCCGGTACATTTCACATTAATTCGAAGGGCGCATAATTAAGCACCGATCCAGATTCCCGAAGACTGCATCACCAGGCACCTAGGGTTTCATGAGAATTGCCCAACCTCAAATTTCACAGTGGCGAATTATTGGACTTGCAAGAACTCCTAAGTCAAGAAGTCCCTTTGAAAGCACGACCTATCGAGGGTAGTGGCTCTAGGGGGAAGAAAAGAGCGGAAACGACTTTGAGGTCAATGATCGCACTCTTCGTATGTGAAGAGGTGCCACATTCGTAGTGACCCTTCAAGTTGATATTGTGGCTCTTCACTTGTCCCCTGCAGAATGACATAGTAGGTAATGGGGCTGGGGTCTCCCGCCCAATCCAAGCAGGGGGAAAAAAAGATGGCCAACGAAAAGCTGCGAAAAGCTGTTGGCTATTGAGTTGTTTTTTCTCATGGCAGTGCATCAACCTGTGTTGCCTCCGGGCCAGGCCTGCCCAGAGACCGGAAATGCAGCCACGCCACCGTGGTGAGCGGACCATGGGCAAAGACGTTAGCTGCCTCTGGAAAAAGAGAGAGAGAGAGAGAGCTGATCGGAGCCATTTTGAGCTCACAGAGAAACGGCTATGTTTTAAGTTAAAGTTGTTGTGTGTATATAATAATGAATACCTTTTATTTTTGGGAGGCTGGTTAGTGGTGGAAAATGCTAGCAAATTGTCGTTTTTCTATAGGGATCCAGAGCGTCCGTTTGACACCGACCGTCCGAGGAATTGGGGCTCGTTTGGAGCAGAACTCAATGGGTTAAAGCCGTGGCGAAGGGGTGGTTTCAGATGCTTTTTGGGAGGCTGGTTAGTGGTGGAAAATGCTAGCAAATTGTCTTTTTCTATAGGGATCCAGAGCGTCCGTTTGACACCGAACGTCCGAGGAATTGGGGCTCGTTTGGAGCAGAACTCAATGGGTTAAAGCCGTGGCGAAGGGGTGGTTTCAAATGCTTTTTGGGAGGCTGGTTAGTGGTGGAAAATGCTAGCAAATTGTCTTTTTTCTATTTTTTCTATAGGGATCCAGAGCGTCCGTTTGACACCGAACGTCCGAGGAATTGGGGCTCGTTTGGAGCTGAACTCAATGGGTTAAAGCCGTGGCGAAGGGGTGGTTTCAGATGCTTTTTGGGAGGCTGGTTAGTGGTGGAAAATGCTAGCAAATTGTCTTTTTTCTATAGGAATCCAGAGCGTCCGTTTGACACCGAACGTCCGAGGAATTGGGGCTCGTTTGGAGCAGAACTCAATGGGTTAAAGCCGTGGTGAAGGGGTGGTTTCAGATGCTTTTTGGGAGGCTGGTTAATGGTGGAAAATGCTAGCAAACAATCCAGAGAGCAGGCAATGAAACGCTCCGCACGGGCACGGACCTCGACACCGGAAAGAAACGACGATTCCAGAAGAGCAACCTTTAAAAGGACGACTGAAACCCCTGTTCGAAAAACCCTCGCAATGCCAACCAGTGGAGGAAAAGCCGGACCTGAGAATCCGGGGTCGGCGGCAGGGGCGGCAGCCCTTAAATAATAATGAATACCTTTTATATATATATATATTGCAAATAAAGTGTATAAATTCAGTTCTAAAGGGACAACATGCATGAACCCTGGAGTTGAGCAAAGGCAACACCAAAATAAGAAAATGGATTTGACTTCACAACCAAACCCCTAGATAGAAATTTCTGGAACTCTGCACAAGTGCCTGAGATTCTGACGACCATTTTGAGTCTACACGTTCCTCGATCGCAAAGGAAGGACCAACACATGAGAACCCTTGAACAAGCACGGTCGATGTGGCTTAAAATATCTTAAAATTGTATGCCACGCCTGTTGAGCATGACATTGTAGGTGTTGACTCGTTGTGAAGAGAAAAAGAGAAGAATCGATCTAAGTTCTGTCCAAGTGGCACATCTGCGTCTAGTATGCCATCATGCCGCCTTGTCAAGGAGGTTTGGTTTGTTCCTGTTGAGTCGATGGCCATCCCTTGAATGACAGTGATGGTGAGCAAGTGTTCAATGGAATTTTCAAACACAAATAGCCAGCTACAGTACCAACCAGGCCATTCAATTGAAGCACTACCCATAGAAGTTTTGTATGTCACTCCTAGCCAAGGACTCGTGATACTTGGAGACAATTCACTCGCTTTCCTTCAGTGTGCAAATGAGTCGCAAAGTCCGGCCTTTTCCCATAGCCTTTCCCTTTCCTTTGCCACCACCCCAGTCGTGGCCGCCATAACCGTAGTATGGTTGACCCCATCCCTTGCCACCACCGCCCCAACTGCCCATCATCATGTTCATGAAGTTCATCATGCCTGGCACAGGCAAAAAAGACTGACAGAGCTTGTCCACGGGTGTTGTGTGAGAGTTAGTTACGAAGGGGAGCAGTCCGTGACTCAACCGGTCGTGTACACCAGGAGCTTCGTTGGACACGCGAAGCACGGTGCGGTGTGGGTGCTAGTACGTGCCAACGCGGTCGCTTGCGACCCCAGAGGAAGTTGCATTTTTTCCGGCTTGGATGACATTAGCAGGTATGCATGTGGGTTGATGTTTGATATGTTGCGTTGAATGGATGGAGGTGGGGGTGGGGGGGGCTTGGGTTGGGTGGGGGGATAATGACGTTGGTTTGGATGCGGTTCGAAGATGATGTCACATGCACACACGCCTTGTGGGGTTGAGTGAGGGGCCAGGGGCTAACGACGATGGTTTGGATGTGCTTTGATGCGTCACTCAGAAAATACAGTTTGCTTGATATTAGAGCCGCCCACTGCATGTATGTCAGACGTGACTTTTAACAATTACACCACCGTAGACCCCAAACAGGTTAGACAACAACGAAGCATTCCCAAGTCCACTTTTTGAGACATCAACAAGAAGGGAGACAAGACGAACACAATAACAAACAAGAACGGAGACAAGAAGGGAGACAAAATAACAAACAAGAACGGAGACAAAACGGACAGAGACGAAAAGAAACAGAAGAGAAACAAGGCGGACACAATGACCAACAAGAAGAGAAACAAGAAGGGAGACGAAAAGAAACAGAAGAGGGACAAGACGGACACCATGACCAACAAAAAAGGAGGCAACAAGAAACAGAAGGGAAACCAAACGGACACACGGACCAACAAGAAGAGAGACAAGACCGGATACAAAGGGAGGCAGAAGAGAGACAAGGTGGACATAATGACCACCAAGAAGGGAGACATCAAAAGGAAACAGCAGTCAGACAAGACGGACACAATGACCCACAAGAAAGGAGACAAGAAGGGAGACAAAAAGAAACACCAGGAGACAAGACGGACACACTAAGCAACAAGAAGGGAGACAAGACCGGAGATAAAGGAAGCAGAAGGGAGACAAGGTGGACACAATGACCAACAAGAAGGGAGACAAGAAGGGAGACAAAAGGAAACAGAAGGGAGACAAGGCAGATACAGTGACCAACAAGAAGGAAGAGAAGACCGGAGACAAAGGGAGACAGAAGGAAGACAAGGAAATGCTGCATGGCCAGCGGAAAAGGGCCAGCAGCGACAGAAAGGGCGGACACATCTTAAGGAAGAATTGAGAACCCCTAACAGTAAACTGCTTCTGGAATGAATAGAAATGCTGCATGGCCAGCGGAAAAGGGCGGACACCAGCAGTGACAGACCTGGGAGACAAATGAATAGAAATGCTACATGGCCAGCGGAAAAGGGCGGACACCAGCAGCGACACAAAGGGCAGACACATGTTAAGAAAGAATTGAGAACCCATAACAGTAAACTGTTTAGGGGAAAAAAGAAAACAATGCAAAGAAGTGCTACGAAAAAGCGTCCCACCCGAACCCAGAAATTGAACACAGAACCTGACTGGAGTCTTGTAAAATACACTATTTCAAGAACACCACGTTTTGCACTCCAAAGATGAAATCAAAAATACATCTTTAAAAAAGAACTGTTTATATACTAATTTCAACAAAAAACAGCATCAGTTCTTGCCTAGTTTTGTGCTACAAGAGTGGCAGTTCATGTTCACGAACCCGTTTTCTCAATGAGAGGAGACAAAAAATGTCGCTTTGCGTTGAGGCCCTGACTCTTCTATCGTCCCACCTCCTGACCCTAGACTCCCTAGACCAGCGGCAACACATGAGACTCAACAAAAAACGACCCAACACGCATGCCCACGCTCACACATCCAACCTTGCATGCCCTTCCTTGGCAGCAGTCAATGCAATCTGCAGAGGAAACCCCGTGTAAAAGTTCAGTCCACACTGTTTAGAACCTAGCCCGAGCCTAGCTGGCCTAGCTGCTTGCTTTTGAGAGAATGCTCACCTGCAATCACTCTCAACGAACTGGAAAAGAATGGAGTCACAGTCTCCAGCCCCCCCCCACCACCAATCCCACATGCAGCCGAAACAAGAGCGGCATCTCTGGTGTTGTTCGTGTCACTGGACTCTGTGAGAAAGCAAAGTGTCCTGTTTGAAGGGTTTTGGAGACCTAGTTACTCACACTCTTGGAGACATACATAGTTCAAAATCTACTTGGAAACGTTCAAGTGTGTTCAACACCTCTAATGTTCATGATGTTTCCTTGTCTCCCGTTTTCTGACACGACTCCAACCCCGAGCTTCGGCCACCCTTTCTAAGCCCAGCATCATCCCTTTCATGCTGCCCTTGCCAGGGGCTCGCTCAGAACGAGGAGTTGCAAACCTCAAGTTTACAAAAGCGAATCGGCAGCTATCTTCCATCTTGTACTCAGGGCTTGCATTCTGATATTTGGTGTTCAAAAGAGTAAACAAACGGAACACCATTCTACATGTCCTTGCTGAAGGCCGTCAGTGAAAAGACTTGGCGGATAGGACAACTCTGAGCCTCCAGCACTACAGTTACTGGAGTGGAAAAGCCATCTGGGATATTTCCTTGGTCAGTCAAGGGTGAGAGTCTGATGTATTGAGAGTAACATCAAATTCAGGACCTGCATGTTTTGTGCGCAAGAATGCGCAAAAAGACTGTATTGAAAAGAAGCTAAGCTAGGCGAATGCTGTATGGCTTTGCTGCAAGCAAGCGGCCGTTTAAATTGTCAACAACCCATTGCGCTTGGTCAACCGTCTCCATGACAACGAAGCTGGCTGCAGCGTTCCTAGGTGTCATGAATCATGTGCCTCCTTGTTTGATTATCAGCTACTAGTAGCTTCTTGCTCCTAGTAGCAATGGCCTCCAACCTACTTGCGATGGCCTCCACCTAATAGCATCCTTGCTACCACTACAAAATATCTGTGCCGTTGCAAGTGTTGCAAACAGTGAAAAATTAAGAAACAACTCACAGGAGACTGCTGACACCCTGCTTCCCCAAGTGTCGCCGTCCAGCGAGAGTAAGATACTAACATCACAATGCAGGCCCTAGAATGAACAAACCCGCAGGTGGCTCACACAACGAAGGAAGGAGGAAAACTTGCATGCCTTTCAAGACGGGACGGCTCTTCCACCAGAGTTATATAGAATGTTTGTTGCATAGCAAGCTGCAGAGTGACTTCCTTTGAGCTGGATTGGGGGGCAAGTTGCTCCGAGTCACGCACACTTATCTGAGGGCCGCACTTGCCAGGCAACACCGGAAGGACAGTGGCATCTGTCACCTCACAAGGAAGAAAGCTGAGTTTTATGACACAGCAACGGAGAAAAGCTAGAAATGCCTTCTACATCTTGCATTGCGCAGTGCCTCGTCCTTCTTAAAATATAGCAGAAAAATAGAAATATCTTACTTTTCCTCGGGGTTCCTGAACCAATTGCACACTACCGACGGCAACAGCTCTAAAGCTGACGCCCGCATAGTCCACTGCCAGGTGGCAGTTCCGTATTGGCTGAAGGCCTTTTTGGCTTGCTCGCTGGAGCAATCAACGGGCAGGCCACTCCTCAGTTCTGTAGAAATGAGCTGAAACCAAATGATGAATTAACAGCCTCATCTGGTGCTTGGGGTCATCATTGGCATTTATATTCCTGTTCTGCAAAGGAATCATATATACCAGAACAAGCAGCATTAGAAGACCTGCCACTTAGGTGTTGTGCACAAATTTTGCCACCAAAGGGCACGAAGAGCGTCTCGCTGGGTGCAGGTCCCTTACTCATCGTGAAGGATTGGACTCAATTGTGTTATCTTTTTGAAAATAAATTGCAAAAATGATGCATCTGCTCATGCTGCTATGATGATGCATCTTGGTTCATGTATGTCAACTCCCCATTAAGCCAAATCTTCAGCGACGGGATCAACGAAATAAGAACGTGATAAGAGGATATAAGAGGGCCAATGTTGTACTGTCGTTCAGGTTGCAGCTCCGTCTGCATATGGCATATGGATATCGGATATGCAGTAATCAAATACAGCCAGCAAACCTACGAATGACTCACACAATTCACCAATTCTTCATGTCACGCTTCAACTGTCAAGGTCCTCCCAGCATCACAAGAACCACATTGTCCGTATAATATATATATATATACATCAAACCAACCTACTGGCAGGCAATCAGAGATAATCGAGGCAATTTTTGGTTCCGGTCCGCAACTTTTTTCAACTCATTATGAACGCCTGAGCACACAGGTGTCTTTGGACTCATTCTCCCTCTTCTTCCTCTTCTTGTTGCTCCTGTTCCTGTTCCTGTCGCAACATCTGGCAAATTGCCCTGTGATGAACGACCATACAAAGCCGTACAGCATACAGTAACAGGCCCGGCTAGACGAACTGGTGCTCGACTCAAAAGCGCTTCAATTCTCTCTTTCAGTGGCCATGTTCAGCAACCTCACCTGCTCCTCTAATTTGGCAGCAGCTTCTTCCTGACAGCGCTTCTCATCCGGCTGTGAATGAGCTGTTCGCGCACCACAGCGGCTGCGGAAAGCATCTGAGCAATGGACAACAGCATTGGTTGTTGTGAAGACCTGTTTTGAGGTATGATTGATCGTGGTCAAATCTCTGACCCAATCAGCTTTCACCAACCCAAACGGCCCAAACGGTGGAGTCAAGCCATAAGTTCTATTCATCTTTCATAGATCCAAGGATCATCCCGACCTCCTTTCATGTCAGATTATGCATTTAGGCATGAACTATGCCTTGAGCATTCACAAAAACACACTTATATAGGTCACTACTAAACTCAAGACTGTCCCAAGCAAAGAGCTCATGGGTTTCAATTGACACCACTCCTGCTTCTGCTCATTTTCTTGCACTTCATCGTAGTCGCCCTTCAACTCTGTGACCTCCAACTTCAGCAAGTCACATTACATGACCCACATGCTCACACTTGAATAGCCAGTGAACCCGTGGTTTGCGTGGGGGTTCAGGGCCCCCTATTGACGCACCCTCAATGACATGGTCGTGGTTGTTACGGCCAACGGCTAAAAGTTTGCAAACAATGATTCGTATCAGAAGCTGCAAGGCTGCAAGTTCAATGTAGTTCAATCTAGTTGCCTGATATCCGTCGTTCGTCCACTCCTCATCCCGCCTGGTATTTGCAAATGCCCGGTCTTCCAGGCATCTTATCACAGCTTTCTTGTGGCTTGCACATCTGGCAGGTTGGCATCTTCAACACTTCACATCCAGGATCCAGTAAAAACAAATCTGACAGAAGGGCAGACTCCTAAAATGGCCAAAAGCATTCTACAAAAACCCAAGCAACTCACTGCGTGAAGCGAGTATCCCTTTAACAGCATGGTCTCAAAGAGGTTGCCAGCAAAAAATGTGGATAATCAACAGTAAATCCCAGGGAGGGAAGGGATCAAAGTAAATTCTGCGGGAAAAGTTCTGGCTGCGACCCCAATGCATGAATCAAGACATTGAGTACAATGCACTCTTTCTTTGCAATGGGAAGTTAAATAAACATTAAACAAAAAATACTAGACTATCTAGACTATATACTGTACTTCTCTTTGCATCCCCCCAAAAGGGACACAAGCTCATATTTGCGGCCTCAAATCATCAAAAGCTCTAGGTTTCAGCTTTTGGGTGGCACCGCAAAGCCGCAAACCGCTGAAACTTTAGGTCCTTGAGTGGAAAAGGACCAGAAACACCCACTTGACTTAGGTGAAAACCCTGAACAAGCATCCCTCCCTGACTGGAATGAGGATGATCTATGACAGTGGGTGAGCCGGTCTCGCCCAAAGCCCTCGCTGTGAGCTCGCATAAAGAACTGCCAAAAGGAGAAAGAACAGCGACATCCCTCCGTCACGACCATCCTCCTTGGAAGCGCAGCTTTCCACAAAAATGTCCTCAGGCTTGCCCCTGGCGATTTTTGCAGCACAACTGACTATAAGGTTCTCTATGCTGCACAACTGACTCCAGCATTCTAGCACACTTTCCTGAATCTCACGAACTGTTATCATAAACGCTTCACAAATCCCATCCACACCTGGTTGAAGCCTCTGAGCAGCACGTCTCGCGGAAAGGTTCTGAGCAACGGTGTTTCAAGGGCCAGCACATGACGAGTGTGCAATTCTTTTGCAAATCAAAACCATGTCGTCTTGTGCCAACTTGGGAGATTGTTGAGTCCTTGAACCGCGGTTCAGGGGCACTCACTTCCAAGACAGCAACCAAGTGCCTAACTGCAGGTGGTCTTCGGCCCTGAAAAGAACATCCACACAGGAGCAGAGACCTTGAAAGTCAGGCTGTGGCCTCAGCACACGTTGTGGTTCAATTTGGTCTACAGGCTTCTCCCATAGTGCACCCTCTTCCCTTCAGGTGCAACCAGTTCTGACCCATGCCATCACTTTCACTGAAGAAACAAATTGGTGTGTGCTCCATGGCACAAAATAGTCACCACTAGTCACCTGTTCGGTCCTCTCGAGAGCACTTAACAATCAATTTGGAGGGCCAAAACCAAAACCTTGCCTGACATTGCAGTCCTGCACAAGCAATTAAAGCCCTCTGAGTTCAAATCCATTTGGATAGCAAGGAACTGGTGGTGGTGCCGGTGGTTCCAGCGGTGCCTCACGGCGGAACTTGTGAAGTTACAATCAAAAGAAACTCTGTATTTTCTTTATTTTAGAAGTCCGAGTCAAAAACATGTCTTCATTGCACATCTGTCGCTACAAATCGTCCACTGCAGATCGCCTCCACAGGTGCAGCCGGACCTGGTCCAAGGCCTGGGGGACCTGGTCCAAGGGCTGGGGGACCTGGTCCTCCGGAAGCTGGCATTCCCGGTTCCTGACAATCGATCAAACGGAGTTCCTCCAAAACAACTCTCCGAAGAGTTCGCGCCTGGACAGGCGCCTCAATCTGCTGTAAGGAGACGGGGGCGGCCGGTTCACCCAGGCCTGGCACACCAAAATGCCAGGCTCACAGGCCTTGATTCGAGTGCTTGGCTAAAATGGCTTTAGTCGTACCGGCTCTGGCATCGTTGCATAGTTCTAATAGCTTCTTGTTACTACTAGTAAGGCACTCGTTGCTACTAGTAAGGCACTTGTTACTAGTAGTTCCTAGTAGTTAGACATCCTGAACAACGAGCTCTTGAAAGAACTCTTCTTGGGGGCAAGGAGTGGGGTAGTCTTTCCGAAGTCGTCTTAGATGTTGTTGTCGGAACTCGGCTCACAGAGATTTGATATATATATATATATACTCTTTGACCATCGGGTCACATAGCTGGATTAGTTGCACCTCCCCTAAACTTCCATGTAAATCATGAAGTTAGTACATTGTAGTGCCATTGCTAAATCTTGGTATGCTACACACAACATCTGCATGACTCTCAGAAGTTGTACTTGCCCAACTAGTGCCCAGACTCAACACCAACAAGCAAGAAGGCCAACATAAAAATGCCCCGAGCTTGCCTGGAAGAGGTAGAGGAGGTGGTATAGGTGGAGGTGGTGGAGGAGGCTTGTTATAGCAAACGATCGGTGTCTTGCAACCTCATATGGATGACCCATGGGTCTGCTTCCGGACGGAATCAACCAACTTGTGCCGACAAACCGAGGCCAAGAACCAAAAGCCAAGAGCAGTTTTTCAGGGCTCAACGACTCAACATGCAAGAAAACTAGAACCAATCAACCAATGTATCAGTGAGTGCAAAAAGGCGTCAAAAATTAGAGCCCGCCTCCATGGTAGATTAACATCCCTGATAGTCTAGTCTGTATTGTGTGTCCATGGATGCTCCTGGTGACAGGTGACGTGGTTTTGTTTGTGTTTGCTTGCACTCATGCTCCCTTCCGTAGAAGCAAGAACCCCGGTACCAATGCCAAAGGGCACGTATCACCACTCCAAAATGAGCACCGGCCGAAACAGCCGAAACACGAAACTCCACCGGTCTTGAGCTGAGGAGCCATCTCCAGGTTCGCATTCCATCGCCGCATTGCGCGGCGGGGTGTTCCAGTTTAAGCCCTTCAAGTACGCCTGAGGGTCGCTGGTTCTCAAGTTTCCACTTTCTCAATCCATGCAAAAGATGCAACCTAACTTGAATGTTCCCATGCAAATCTGTCCACTGTGTCACAGCTGTGACAAGCAAAATGTAGATAAAACTCAAGTACAGCAGAACTCAGAACTTGCTTGATCTTCACCCCACCAAGACCTGACCTCTACTGTATTGGCTTGTCTTTACAAAGGAGAATAGCTACTTCAGCTTGTCGTAGAGTCGGTCCTTCATGCCAGGCTCCCGCCAGTCAGCTTGGTTGCCATCAATGGCGATGAGCTCATAGCCTGGCTCCGGAGGTCGGGTTCTTCGATGTGGACGACATGGCGATGTGGCTTGGCACTGAATCCCGCCCAATTGACACTTCATGTTCAACGAAGTCTGAAAAGAACTCTCCTGTAATCATAAGGATGTCCCACACCGTATCCTTCCAGGTGCAAGGCAACTTGAACTGAGTTTCACAGACTTGACAAAGAATGGCTTGGCGGCCCAAGACTAATGTCATAACCACACCACACCCCACTGAACCCCATCAAAGGCCCTCAGTGCCACGGCGCCGCCTCGTTTGACTCCGGCATCTTTGGCCAGGCCCTTCACCTGCATTGCCAGTCAGTCGTTCGGTCGGCAAGTCCTACAAACGCCTGTGTTTCAACCAGTTGGGGGCGAGGTTTGAGAAAATGGCACCTGGAAAGGAGCCTCTGAATGCAACCCATGGGATTTGGGCTCTGCCGTGTCACATCCCACCAAGCCTTCCAAGCAATTGGATGGTCCTCACCACCAGAAAACATCCAACCACCAGTCCGTATCTTCCTCAGTGTGAGACAATTGCATCTGTTGAAAAAGAGCTTACTGTTGCTACTTTCTACGGAAGAAGAAACAAAGCTCTTCTGTAGGAGACCCCGCTTTGTAACGAGCAAGTGGTCCTGAGACCTATCAGAATGCATGTAGTATCATCAGTTCTTGTTCAGAATTGGTTGGAACTCCATCGTGGATGATTTTTCTTGCTTGTTGTAAGGACATCATCGATTACATACAATTCTGAGTTGATGATGATGCTGACGCTGATGCTGATGATGATGGTTGTTCCTGAGTCTTTTAGCATTGCATCCTGGAGGTGTCAGGACGTGTTCCCGAGGACCAGCAATTGTCGAAGGATCCGCTGTGGCTCCGAGTTGTCTGCTGACAGTCCACCCAGGCGGCCAGCAGAAATGCACACAGTTGCCATGGTAGTGTCACTTGAAATCACTGCGCCGGACGATGAACAGCCAATCTTTTCCAGGGCTTTGGCATGGGTTGTTTTGTTGGGGTGTATTGCGTTGAAAACAAAGACGACGGGTCCTGACAAGCCGCAGAAGGAAGTCGTTGCACACATGTTGATCAGTTTCAACACTTTCACTTGAGAATGAGACTACAGAACTGTTCTGGGTTGCTTCCCACCTCCGAAGTATCAATTTGGCTGGATCCATTGGCATTGTTAGACCCCAAGGTCTGTGTTGTGGTGGCCAAGGAGACATGTATGCGGATTCAGTTGGCAATGCTGCACCTTAACTTCGCTGATTCAAGGAAGGCCATCATGTTCGGCACAACGACGTAGACGAGGTCAGAGGAGAAAGGTATGCTGGAAGACACAGCAGTTGATTGATAAATTAAAGGAACAGGAAAGAAGGAAAAGAGATAGGTGATAGGTGAGAAAGCGACGGGAAAAAGTAGCAAGCAAACAAACAGCTTGATACAATGCACTCACATGTAAAGGCTTGGTGTGCTCATTGCAAACCAATATGCAAGGTCCATCCAGAGAAGTCAACATAACCTCCCCTGACAAATAGATTATCGATGTGTCAACAGGAAATACCTGGTTCCCCTGAGGCTCCGAGAGATGTAGCTGGTGCTCAATGACATTCAGTCAGTTGAGCAATAACCGCCGTCACAATGCCCAAGGACAGGCTGCTGGAACAAACAAACTCTGGATATTTGGAACTTTGACGCCTCAAATGCATCTTTCCAATACTTTATTCTTGTGCAAATTGGCAGCTACGCTTGCACCCAACCCCTTCTCACATGGCAAAAAAGCCACTATGGGAAATCTAAAGCACCCACTTGGAATAGCTTGTGAAGCGACACTTTCGCTCAAATGGCAAGGACTATCTTAAATCTTAGCTTGGACAAATTGGTTTCGCTCTATTTTGACAACTGTGGCTCAACGAGCTGTTGTCAAGTCAACTCCACACCCAAGCGTGAGGCTTCGACAGATCTTCCAAGATCTTCAAGTGACATTTCTTCGTTGGATCCTCTTCCTGGCATCAATGGATGGCAGCATGAGATGGGTTGGGCCGAATTAGTCCTTTAAAGCTGCATCTAGATCTTCAAGCTGTTTGACTTGACCTGTCTAGGGCCGCTCGTTCCTGGCTTCCGGAGTTTACACTTGAGAGTCGGAGAAACTTGATGAGAGTTCGATTAAAACGGCTTACAAAGATCTATTTTCTCGAGCTTCAGCTTTTTCAAGACACCAAGCCCAGCAATCGTACTTTGGGCCTTGTTCTTCATGCAATTTTGGTACGCGCTATCTGGAGGGTATTTCACCTCAGGCCAACATCCCCATTTGATCGATCCAAGAACTTCAAGAGCAGCCGGGCCAATCACGGAGACTGTCTTGAAGCACTTCCTGGCCGCGGGAGGCTACCAATGAAGCTATATAAGCAAGTAAGAGCAGCTACTAGTAAGTAACGGCCACTACTAGACATGAAGAACCCCTGGCATGATTGATTTGGTTCCAAGATGTTTAGGGAAACCTACTGCAACTAGTAGCGTCCTTGCTCCGAGTAGCGATGCCCTTTGCCCCTAGTAGTAGCGTTTTCTTTACTCGATGTTTGGTTTGATTCTCCAATTTTGTCTGGCTGGCGAGCTGTCGATGTGCTCCCCCAGCGGGCATTGAAAGCCTGGCAGGGGATTGGCCAGCGGACACCAGGGCGGCCAGGTGTAAAAGTTCAAGTCCTGCTGAGTGCTGCGATTCGTCTAAACACTCAGATGGCTGTGGGTCAAAAGCGGGACCCTGGTTGACCACGGAAATTGAATGGGGTCAAACAGGCTCTGCGGCTCCAGGTTTTGACCCGCAGCCAGGTACTTTTGTGACCAAGTCTAAACAGCACAGCTTTGCGACCCGAGCATCGAATCGTGGCAGGACCACCGGGCACACAATGACCCAGCACTGGACAAAGACACTTGTTCATATCGTTGCCTCTCCTTTTTTTCTTGAAGGAAACAAAGTCGTACCTCGCATTGATGATGCAAAACCGAAAAGATGGAAACCAGAAATCTGTCCTTTCATTCACCCACTCCAGTCTGACCTGAACTGTATTCGCTTCTTTTTGGATTCAATCAAGCAAATCCGCAGCAACAATCACTGCCAATTTGTTCGGAGCACCAGTGCTCATGACGAGGAAGCTTCACTTCAAAGCCTGCCCCCAAGCCGGATGATGAAAACAGCTCTACAAATTGCTAGATATGGAACAGGCTGTTTTTTTCTGTTCGTGCACCATGTGCTGGATGCTGCTCGCTGGCCTCTGGATATGTTTTTACTATATAGTTGGGTCATCATGTTGTCTGCATTGTTGCCAAAAAAATTGTGAGAAAAAAAAACGAAAACAATATATAAAAGAAAACTCACAAACATGTTTCATATTGTCAACAAAACAAACATCCAGAAAAATGAAATGAAATGGCCGGCTGTCCAAAAAAAAACTGTGTGTCGCAGAAAAGTCTAGTGTGTTTGCTCATGCCTGGTTGGAAATGAGGTGCACGGCAAGTTTGCCAAACCTTAAAGTTCAAAAACAAATGTCCCGTACACATTATCGAAACACAACACATGACACCTCGGAAATCAAATCATCAAGTAGACCACATGACCACATGGCTATGACTGCCATTAATCGCTTAATCTAGCCAGGACGCATGGCTGTCGAAACCAGGCGGTTCGTCACTGCCCAAGAGGGAGGACCTTAGCATCTGGTGGCAGCCTAAGGATCTGAAGTCTGTGTCTTGAGGCGTACAAAATTCGCCCTGGCATGCCACCATCAACTTTGCATGGGCAGACGACCTTATGTAGCACAATCGTTTGTCCCATGACCACATGCCTTTCCACAATCCCCAATAAACTGTAATGAGCCTGGACGTGAGAAATGCCTATTACCCGGTGATATTTGTCTACTTCCACAAGTGCACTGCAACATGGTGCAACATCAACCACATTGCATTACTGTGTAGAAAAACGTCCTATCTTGAGCAAAATGTTTGCAATATGCAAATCATCGACCCTCACCAACGGAAGATTGGCATGACATCTGCCAAAGGAGGGTTTCAAAAACGTGAAAGTTAGTTTGCGTGCTAATGTTGGTGGTACCCACGTGTTGCTCCTGGCTTTGGCTTTTAGGAACACAGGCGTACGGCCCCAAGACCCCAGGAAGACAACGCGAACATGATATCAACAACTCAGCCGCACGCTACTGCTGCTGCTCTGCATATGGTGCTTGTCAGCTGAGACCATGTTTTTCCATCATGCCCTGTCAAGTCTCCCATGACCTAGTACAATAATGGTGGATTCACCGGTGTTAGCCTCGAGGTGTCGCACTGGGGCGTCTGGCTAACTTGTTGCTGTTTACAGTACATTCATGTCTTTCGAAGTCCTCAAAGTGCATTTCGCCTGCGCAGGCTCGCAGAATCTGGTTGTCCGCGGCAGGTGCTTGTCGCGACTGCGCTCTCGTTGTGGTGCCGCGCGCATTTTCGGACATGATGGTCACTTTTCGCAAGGGAAACCTCGTGTTTTGGTGGTGCAAGGTCGACTTTTCGTGATAGGCGCAAGGAGCGGTTTTACTTCGAAGGTTTGCCATTGAATTTGGGAAAAAAAATTGCAATGAACACCTTTTTTTGAACGAGCATGGCTGCCAGTCAAAGGTCAGCTAATGTATGTGGAGATTGAAGATTTCCTGTGACCAAAACCGAAAAACGCCAACCAAAACAAACCACAAAAAAAAACAAAAAACAGAACACGCAAAACACCCAAACACAACCAACAGCACCGGTCAGACCAGGAAATCTTTGGATCTTTTGGATTCTTTTTTCTCCATGCACTGGAAATGATTCGGCGTGAAACGAAGCTGGCCGCGGATGAATTGTAGGAAGCAGCCTTCAGCTTGGTATGAGTTACAGGAGTGTCGGTCTCACCGATTTCCGAGGGACAGCAAGGTGGACAGTCCATGTTGAGTGACAGCGAACCAAAAGGCGGCAAAACATGAACGAGCTGAACTCGCGGGATGCTGTCACAGGGTTCCTGCCAAACCAAACGCACCCGTATGAAGAGTGGGCTGACCAGACAGGAGTTTCAGCACATTTCACCCCCAGCGCGGACCACCAGAACAACCGTGGGGGACGCAGCGGGAGGAGCGGCCAGCAGAGAAAATGCACAACAGAAGAGGCCAGCTCTCATCCCTGTCCTTGTCCCAACCGCCACTGCGTCGACACAAAGCCGTCTAAAACGATTCCCTGCACTGACCATGTTGTGGTTGGCTGTTTGCCAGCGGTCACTGCATTTCTCATTGGGAGGCGGGCCGACGGTGACCTTGGTCATTGTTACAGCCAACCTGTACAGAGTGATGCCGACTGGGGTTTCTTGACCAGCTTCTGAGCTGACTGGACGGTGCCAGAAACTTTTCGGAGCCCCACATGACAACGATTTGCCACTGATCACATCGGCAGCTGCATCTTCGGCAGCTTCGCCAAGCACTGCCGTCCAATTGCATCGTGTGCCGTGCTGGCCCTCTCATTTCTGCCTTCCCCGTCGCGCCTTTCGGGCAGACCCGTGTTGGTGACGACCACTTTCACACAATTTCTCACTCAGGTGACATCGTGGGCTTGGCACTTGAAATCTTGATGCCCACAGTTTCGCGTGGCTGTGATCTGCGATGCTTCTGGGCAGGCAAGATCTGCATCTAGAAGATGTTGATTGAAAAGGAAGTGACCAAGGCCTCTCGGAGAAGGTAAATTTTTTTCTCGCCAGTGGCACTGGAAGTTCGCTCCAGACCGGAACAACCCCAGTCTGTTTTTGTTCCTGACAGAATGCAAGGGTGAGTGAACAGCTTGTTTACTGACTATTACAGGCAATAGGACTTAACGCCGAAACACTGATGAATAAACTACCCCACTATAGACGATCGTCGTGTCTGGGGTTCGTGTGGCCATCCTCTCCGTACTCGCCACGAGGGCCGACACGGTCACCGTCCTCGTGCTCGGCGCGGTGAAGGTGACCGTCTCAGTGGGCACCTGCCGTGGGAAAACTCTGCTGTCGCTGAAGTGGTCTGAGCTGGTCCAATACTATCTCAGACACAACCTGTCTGGGACTGCCATAGGACTGCCGATCAGACTTGGGGTGGTTTTGGGGGTCACTGGGGCGGCATATATGGCAGTCCCATGGAGTGTCTCGGTGTAGTAGCGGGTGCATTACTAGTAGCAAGAAGCTACTAGTAACAAGTGCATCGCTACTATAGTAACAAGGGGCATTACTACTAGTAAGAAGCTGGTGTCTGGATAGACCATCTGGAGGCAGTTTCTTTCAAGCTTTGAGAGGCCAGACATGAACTGAGCCAGACATGTGACAGGCCAGGGTTCCCCAGTGCGATGAAGATGGTGGAACCGGGAAGAGGAATCCTCCCCTCTCCCAACAGCCCAGTCGACAAGTGTGAGGAAGGCCCAGTCGACAAGGATCACGGCCAAGTTGATAAGCAAGTCTTCCAAGTCTGAACAGTACTTTTGAGCAGTAATTTTATCGAGGTACCTGGGTACCTCTAGAAGTGCCATGTTAGCCACTGTGCTTTCTTCCGAGTCTTCTTCCAGAAAAAAGAACTCCAAAACCAGGGTCCAAACCGTCCCCAAATGATCCAAACGACTGGTCAACCCTGTCCTCTCAGCCAAGAAATCCACCCCTCGTCTTCACTTCCCCTCCGCTCCCCACCGTCTTCGTCGTCACCGTGGTCGAGGTGAAGGTCCTGTGAAGGTCGTCGTGTTTCGGACCAAAAAGAGTAACGTACTATCACCCGTTTGGCCTCCAGTCGTACCGAACCGTTTCGGTTCGGTGGGACTGGGGTGGGTGCCTTTGTCGGGTCCAGTCATACCGAACCGGTTTGGAGGTACGACTGGAGGTGTAGGGTCATGGACAAACTCTTAGAATATGATGGAATCTTGAGAATTTAGAAACTAAAATTCCATAAAAGTCCTAGTCCTAGTCCACTCATTGGACCCCGCAAAAAAAAAACACCATTTTGTTGAAGACGCAGAAGAATGAGCAAAATTCTACCCATTTGGATTTAAAAAAACCTCTTGGATGGGTTGACATCTCATCTAAGAGTCTACAGTACCCAAACACTCCATGGGACTGGCATGAGTTGTGGTGGTGTTCTGAGTTGTATTTAAGATAGATCAAACGGACGTATAACCACTTCTCCTCAATAAGGGGTCAACGTATCTAAATATGCCAGTCCCATGGAGTGTCTGGGGTAGACTTCTGGGGCACCGTTTTGTTGAATAACACCCAAAGGACGTTCAATGGGAACTCCCACCAGGTGCGAATGATGGCATCCGAGCGCGTTCCTGGCAAATTAAGCACCAGTAACCTGCCTTATCAATCGACTTAAAGCTCAAAACAGCCTTCGAATGTCGAGTCCGCGTGCGCCACCGCATGTCACCTGCCCCCTGGGCATGTGACCAAGCCAAAATCCGCCACTCCGCAGCGGTGAAGCGATGAGTGGGCCCCGTGCCCTTCGCTGTTCTTGGTCCCCCAAGCATCGGGACTGGAAGAGTTCACATGCCCAAACACGATGTCTATGAGACTGGCATATCCCAGACACTCCATGGGACTGGCATACTTACATACATTGACCCCTTTTCAACCACCCCAACTCATCGGTAAATATGCCAGTCCCATGGAGTGTTTGGGTATTTACATCCATTGACCCCTGACATCAACCACCCCTGGCCCGAACTCTCGGTAGTCCGGACTGCCAGTCCGGCGGTCGTGCCCAGGTCGTGGGTCCATTTCACGGTACTCCGACGCAAGAAGACCTCCTGCTTAGTGGCAGAACAGGCCGCCAACCCGGACCAGGATAGGCCAAAAGGATATGTGTTACCTTATTTTGCAAAGATCCAAAAGTATTGTTCTTTAGTCTAGTCGTCATTGAACCACCAAAACATGCCATATGACCATTGTTCTATGGTATCAACAAGTTAAACCCAAGCGAATGCAGCTTTGAGTCATGTGCTCCACTTTGCCAGCGGGATTTGGAGGACCTCTATGCTCAATAGCTTCTTTGAGGGGTAACCTATTTTGGCACATTTTGCACCATATATAAAACCATATAAGTCATGATCATATTAAGTCATATAAGTGTCTCCAGTGGAACTCGGCCGACGCGAAAACATGCTCCTCGTCTCTGGCAGGGTGAACGTCACCGTCTCCGTGGGAACCTTGGGCGCGTAAACCTCTTCACGTTCAGGGGCTGCTGTGAGATTTCCTGGAAAATCAAGAGCTTAACATAGGTTGACCCTCCAAACCTACATGAGATGGAGTCACCTTCTGAGAAGGCACGACTGGATCGATAGGGATAGGTTGACCTTCTTTCTCCTTTGTCCATCGCTATGAAGCGGGCCGGGCAACATAGGGAAACCAAGAAACATCCTCCTAAGGGACCTGTTTCATCACTGATTGGGGACCTGGAGGACGTGGAGAGGTCCTGCCTTTCGGCAGCAACTGTTCTTACTTTTTGCAGGTCGGAGGTCCTGGGGAACTACCCAGTTTGAACATCCACATTCTTGCTCTCTCGGCAGGGTGCAGGGAATCTATTTATGTACTTGAGTACCTGAGAATTGATTTTGATGAGAATATACGGAAAAGCAGGAACAATAGCATTCCAAATGCAAACTGTGGGCAACAGACCGGATTGCAAAAGTCGCATCTCAGCCGCCACCACCCATTGCAAAAAGTCTTTCACCACGCAGTGTTCAATTCCAAGAATACACGTGTCTTGCACACGGTCAGGATCATGAAAGCTGGAAATCATCTGTGAAAACATGTTTACAACTTGACAAACTCAAGCCACAAGAGTTTGACCCACGCATTGACGGTCTGCTGGGTCAGCTTGCAAGTGCTCTTCTCCGCCGGTGAGACCGGCCTCGCGCCGACCAAGGATCGCGACGTGAGCCTGTGACTTCAGCTGCTTCAGGATTGCACTGCCAGCTTCAAGGGCCGACCCCTCGTCTCGCAACCCACGACCCCAAGTGCCTCGTCCAGAGTCCTGACAGGCGATCGAGACAAACACATCCCGATGGCATCGGATCATGATGTAAACTTATAGTCATTGGATAAGGAAAAAAACATCTTCCCCAGGAATGGGGATTGACAGGGACCAAAAATGATCCATCGGCCCTCAGCAAAACCAGCTAATTTGAGCATCCTTCTGAGAATGTTGTAGCTGGAAAATTAGGCTTGTGCTCAGGGAAGAATGCGCCACACACACACATATATATATATATATTTTTTTTTGCTGTTCGGGGGAAGTCTATATGACGGCTATGGTTTAGTCGGTTTAGTGCCATGTACACAGGTCCTCTCACATGATCCCTAGGGATCCAAGTACCTTCTCAGCAGGTGAGCAGGAAGACACACGTTATGTAGGTGCTATTGTCGGGTCCAGTCGTACCGAACCTGAGGAGAAGGTACGACAACGGATCCCGGATTAAGACCTTTTACCATCGAACGTTGGTTGGAAGGGGTCTCCCAGCTCGAGTTGCCTAGTGCTCACTACAGCTTTCATCCACTGCAGCTCATTGCGGCCCCCCGTAGTTTCACTGGGCGTCCAAGGGCGACCCCGGAGCTGGACATCCGGAAAAAGACAGACCTGAAGGGTGAACCATATGTGAACCGAAGCGACTTTCCACCGACTATTCTTGGTGTAGTGGGGAAGCCTGTCTTCCCCACCTACTGAAGATTGGGCAGGTACATCCACTTTTCCTGCGGTCGGATCACAAATGATCCAGGTGGACCCTACCAAAAAGTATAGGGTCAGCCTTCGGATGTGGGACAGGTTTGAAATTGATTTGGCTTGCGGCTTGCCCTATACTGCGCTCCTCTTCTTGTGGTCGTTGAGCTGGAATTGATCCAGGTCCATGTCGCAAAAGTTGCCACCATCAGAACTCCGGAAGTTCATCACATAGAAACCCAGGAAGAATTTGTCCATTTCGAAGCGATAATGAAAGACTTTTTGTTGATAGGCTTGATGCGCGTATTTCAGCTTCTTCCTCTTGTTATCTACAGCATAGAAGCGGTCCAAGATCGAGTCAAGCCAAACAATCACTTCATACAACTCCTCGTCCACAAAACCCTGGAAATCTACATTGACCATCTCTTCTGGATGTTCCTGCCAGGAGTTCCAGCATCATTCCTCTTGGTTACCTTCTGCTCATCCGCTTAAAAACTACAGCTACTAATGAATCCTTTTGATCGGCATTGAGGCTGAACACGAAACACAGGCCGCGCCGTTTCCAGCGAGGATTGCGATGTTCTTGATATACTTCGATAGTTAAAGTTTCTGCCCCCCCAAACAAAAGGTGTCTTCATGCCGTTCGGCGCTGGAAAGCTGAAAGCTTTCTTCGGGCAATCGAACCAGGACCACCGGCAAATACCTGCAAAACAGGTATCAGCACGAAAACAGCCATTTAGCGTGGGTCCCCGAAAAAGAAAAAACACACAGCAAAAAAAGGACTGACTAACCCTCCCTACACGATATTTGTTGGGAAATCCCAACAAATATCGTGTCCGTCCTTGTTGTAGGCCTCAAGAACTTCCTTGCGTGTGCACGTGTAGCCGATGGACACATTTCCATCGGTCATTCCCTCTGCTCCGCTGGAAGCCGCTGGCGAGCTTGAGCCGGGCCGCATGGGGTCGACGCAAGGGGTCGTTCCGATTTGGACTCCCCATACACCGATGCCGTTCCTTTGGTTTTTCTATTCCGGCATCGGTGATTCCCCCAAAGCACCTCAAGATACGCATGCACCCTGAAGTGTATTAGTATCCACATGTATCCACTACTGTATCCACTCTGCACCATACATCACCATACATGGAGTGTCTGGGATATTGATTGCGGCCAGCGAAAACTTGGGAAATGTTCAGCTCGGCTGAGAAAACTGAATTCGATTGCGGCTAGGTTCAACCTGCAACGAGATAACGATATGTATAAGCTTGTCAACCTGCTCATGTCACATTCTTCTGCCTTATGCATCACTTATCCCAGTTCGACTCCATGGAATTGCCATAGGACTGCCGAGAAACGGTCGCCTTTGCCGAGACTGGGGTGCGTAGACCGTTGAGGCAGGGGTAGATCGGCGGATGTGGAAGGCCGGAAAAACGATGGAAGAAACGGTTTCTTCGAAGGATGGACGTCTTCTGCCTGTGTGCAACGACAAAGCTGAGGGACCCTTGGGTGATTTCATGTAGGGCAACAAACTGCGGAAAGACGGTACATCTCCTGGGGCACCCAAAGTCACCAAATTTCAGACCAGGCTTCACACGTTTTGGCAATGACAACCATTGAAACAACTCTCAATCAATGATTTCCAATGAAATCAATCTTACCATATCTTGCAGCTCTCCAATAAGGCATCTCAAGAGCTCTACCCGCCCAATGAGCACCCTGGCACCACCCATGAGCACCCATCCCACTCCGAAAACTGACGCTTTGCACTCCTCACGGCCGCACGATCGTCACGACACGCGGTTTGGGCGGAAGGGAGCCGTCGCGACCGTCACGACCGTCACCGCTCGGACCGCTGCAGTCAAAGCCACTGTCCTGGAAGTCACGGACGTGTAGGTCCTGCTGCGCTCCGACCGACGGACTGCTGCGGTGACACTCTCAACTCACAGAAGTGGGATTCAGCGGGTTCAAGATGGTTCAGTATGATCCCAAGTAAAGGTTGAATACACATGAGGACCACAAGTTTCAAAGAAAAACATCTCAAACCACCACCGGGGAAGAAATTGCACATCACGCGACCCCAACAGTCAAAGCGTGGTGGATCCAAAATCTGGACGGATGTCGCAAAAAGATGCTCCAAAAACTGCCCCGCCACCACCACGACTCTTGCGACCAAACAACAACCCATGGGTTTCAACGGCCTCGAGAATGCATGCATATATATATATATGACATGATGTTGGTTTTTATGCATGTCTTCACAAGTCCTTCCACAGAAAATACACTCTGAAAACCAACAAGTGCTGGCTGTCACTGAGCTGACCTGTTTGCGCACCTAGACACCCCAAACAGGTGCTTGGGGAATCTTGACGATGTTTTCTGCCAATCCTTGTGAACTTGTGCAATAACTGTCCATGTTCGAGGGCCTACCATCTTGGATTTCGTGAGCCTGCCCTGGAATTGCTGGTCGTTTCAACCCAAGTCCCTTTCCACCCTGCTTGCGCAAATTGCAGCTGCGTTCAATCTCTGGGTGCACCGGAAAGCAAACATGCAGATTGACCAGAAGCACCTGAGAACGCGGCACAGCAGCTTTTGCACGCGTGGGGCTGCCGTCGCAAGAATGCGAAGGTCTGCGATCGGCACCGCTGTGGCAGCTGGCAAGCACTTTCAGCACGGAAAACATGCCAAACTTCCAAAAAGCCGGGCTGCACACTGAGCATGTTGAAAGCTGGTGCCTGACATTAATTGAGTTTGAAAACCTGAGGCGGCAATGTGGAGGCCGCCAAGCAACCACGAATCTTCTCACATCTAAAAGCGGCCAAGTGTGCTTCTCATGCGCATGGGAAACACGCTCCAGCAGGCACTTGTAGAAATCTTGATCAGTGTCTGCATGGCAATTTGTTCGCCGCGTTGCGCAAGATCCGTGACATGATCAACATCTGGATTCGGCTCTGCAACATCAGTGGAAACTGGGCTCTACACAGCAGATTGTCTTGTGCGGGATCCTTGTCCGGCATGGCCGGATCTGCTGGGGCGGTCCACTGTTTTTTTGTCTCAGACTGAATTCATTGGTGTGGATGGTGGAGGGAATTCATCGTGAGATTGCAGGATTTCCTGCTTCTGTCTTCTGGTGGGTTGCGTTGTTGTTGTTGTTGTTGTTGTTGTTGTTTTGTTTGCTTGGGTTCAACCACAGCTCCTAGAGGATTGACATCCGGCAAAGTTTGGATTGGCCCTTGAATGCCTGAAAAACCTACTACCTTAAGTAAGTAGATTACAAACGGTCTAAACACAAAGCGAATGCACGCGCAACAGCTCACAAGCAACGCAAAAGCACTCGCACCACTTTTACGCGCACTCTCTGGGCCTTGAGCCAAAGTAAAGTACAAAAGGCTATGAGGTATTCCTGCATACAAGCTATTCCCATGCGAGACACTGAAAGTGTCGAGCTTAAACGCACTCAAAAATGCACAAAACTGTTCAAAAAACATTCACATTACAAAAGCTACAAAGACTTCTTCACAAGGCTTCTAAACATTGTACATTCCTTGAGCTATGCTCTCCAAAGCTCCCAAAACTCTTCGAAACACAAAGTTCCAGCAAGGAACGCTTTCTCAAACATTGAAAACGCAACACCTCACAGCTAAGGCGTCACACAGCACTTAGACATGAACGCTACTGTTCTCAAAACAGTTGCTCTGCACACAGTTGGTTGTAAACTGACCTCGCACGGCCATACACTTTCACACCCCCTTACGAGATCAAGTGTCAACATCATTCTGCTGCTTGGGACTCTCCTCATACCTCGTCTTCAAACACTTCTTGCAGAAATGAAAGCGGGACAAAGCACGGCCTTTGGCATAGCTGCAGAACGGTGTCAGGTGCAACACTGTTCCCTTTTCAGTTCGATAGTATGTATCATGCATATCGAGCCAATCTGCGAACACTGGCGGGATCACTTCGTTCACTTCAACGCTCACATCTCTTGTACTCTTCTTTCCCATTGACTCCTGTTGATTCCTCGAATCAATCACCACTTGCGCTCAACGGCAACATAGCTTCGCCAGAATTCCTCCAACGAACACGCCACTCACAAATGAGAATACGTAGCATCTCAAACTCTCGCCCATCCACATAAGCAGTAATCGCGGCTGCCTCCATGAACGGCGACGAAAACGCGAACGCGCGCCCAAATAGCTGCGGACAAAAGCAGCCAGCTAGCACAGCAAGCACAGCACGCTTGAACCACACAGAAAACAAATAGAATAGAAATTGCACTCAAATTGCACTCATTCCGAATCTCCAGAACTCCATGGCTTTGCCAGTAAGACCTTCTGATCTCCGATTCCGATCTTCTCTTCAAGAGACGTTCGACCGACCTCGAAAACCTCAGACTCATCATGACATCTATCTAATTCCTCTGACATTCGACAGTCGACGCTTCTCTCAAAGAAAACTTCAAACCTGGACAAAAGACTCTCTCTCGTTTCTCCACATCCTTTCGACTTGATCGAAACGGTGCTGCACAAGAAAACACCCATCATGGTGTAAGATCCTTCTCGGCTCATGCATGACCAGCCTCGCTCCTTAGAAATCGAACGAAGTATCGAGTGAACACACGAGTGTATCGTTCCGTCTCTGTCCAATTTACATTGTTGAAAGCTGCGTGCTCGACAATGCACTGACATTTAAACCTTTCCGCTAACCTGTTTGCAACCTCCTTTCTGTTTGATATGAACCTGAACCTCTTTCCAACTGGTTGTTGACCTTTGGTAAACATCTTCATTGAACACGATACCTTCAAACTCTGGGCGCTGGTTTGACAAAACCTTTCTCAAGAATTCTGACTTCCAGTACTGAGCTCTAAGCTCTTTGATACCTGTCCATAAACCTCTTGAACCTTTCTCAAATAGACAATCGACAGAGTTGGCTACTTCCTCGGAGACCTCAACATGCCTCTGCCTCGACTGTTGATGGAAATTCAAAAATCGGACTTGCCCCAGCACATGGCAAAGAAACATGAGCGTGGATCGACTTGGTTCCAGACTTGCCAAGCTCAAATCGATGGTGGTCCTTTGGCTGGTTCCTGCGGCCGTGACAGCGACGCAAAGAATCAAGTATCGAAAGAATCTCTGCCTGAACTGCCTCTCAATGAGTCCAGCTGCGACGCTTGGACCACCGGCTGAAATACAAGTGTGGTACCTAGTTCGTCTTTGGTTCCTTCTTTGGCGAATGCACCTGTTTTGAGTGTTGGACCGCCTGACAACTTTCGTAGGGAATGCCATGCTTCGCAACTACATTGATTCGGCTGCACTGTTGGTGTGCTCTCGGCAGTTTGAAGCTTTCGGAAGCATCTCGCAGTGGTTTTCCTTGGGGCCGTGTCAATGCAAACGAGCGAACACCCCTACATGTCTTGCAAGTCGCTAGGTACCCGAGAATGCATGGTTGTCAAGTCGGCTTACAATGCTCTCCAAATGCAATCTCGTCCACGGCGTCCTGACTCAGGACGTTTCGCTGTCGGCAAGGATGAACCTCGAAAGAAGTGAGACCTTCACAAAGAATGTAACCCAACACTACCTAGTGGTCAAGATGAACTGAGAGCCGGTGCTGAATTCATTGCCCCTGATTCACCTTCTCTTATTTGGCCGACACGGCTGCTTGAGCTACATACCAGGTTGCGGTTTTCTGTTTGGGTCGTTTTTGGGTTGGTGTGGTTTGGTGGTTTTGTTTGGTTTGGTTGTGTTGGTCGTTTGGTTTTTTCTGTGCCTCAACCTGGCTTGTAACTCTCACTTCACTAGCATAAGATGACCTGCGCAACCTCTGCACACATGGCGTCTCCACCCGTGCAAAAAAAAAGCAGCAATCGGGAACTTTTCACTGTGTTTTTTCCCCTTTGCCTGTTCAATGCTGCAGAGGAAGAGGGTTGATCTGATGTTGTAAGAATGATGCCTGCTCTCTTGACTGCACAGCGTCGTGAGCGCTGCTTTCGACGCTCTCCAAGTGCATGTTTTTTCCACGAGTACGGACGCCATGTGGGCGGTGTGCCCAGGTCATCATAGAAAGGATGGAAACTCTGCTTATTGGTAGGGGGAGCAACCCGAAAAGACAGAAAACACACAAAACCCAAAACCCAAAACCGACCCCGAAAAACCAGCGCCAAAAGACCCCAACAACCAATGTGGGCCGTACTAAGGTGAGACGTGTGAAACATGAGAGAGTGTCGTACTAACTAGATGGGCCCGAATTCTCGACGAACGCAGTACGCTGTATCAGGACTTTGGCTGTTGTACATGAAGGCCATTCAACGGTGGCCTTCGTGCGCAGACAAGGGAAAGGGTCACCCTTGCCAGGCTCGGTTGCAGGCACTTCAGCCTTGTTCGAAGACTAATAGAGCAGCTGGTGCGAATCAATTGCAGCACGAAAGTTTATGATGATCGTTACAGGTCATCCAGTTGCGATGCTTTGCAGGCCTTGGAAAACAGCCACTCTGTGGCACAACCACTACAAATGACTGCACGAGCAAAGGAGGCTGTGGCCAGACTTGGGTACAGAGGTGATAGACATCGCAACGAAAGCGCGGCTGCAGGCAACCTATTGACCTCCCTCAAGCAGGGGGAGGCATGACACGCCCGCCCAAATGGCTCCCGAGCAATAAGCGGGAGGAGCCTGGGGGGCGTGCACTTTTCCAGTGAGATGGATAGAGCGGTCATCAAAGGTCA